TACAAAAGATAGAAATCGGAGTGATTGAATGGAAATAGTGTTCATATTTTAAAATATGTTTGATAACTGATTTTATTGGAATATTTTATTCGTATGTTTTTATACACTGTTTGGAGCACACTGGGCTTTTTAGCTCATTCTATAGTTTTACCCTTTTTCAGATAACAGCAGACCGTAAGCTAGCAGATTTGGCATCAGGGGAGATCAACTACTTATTTTGTACGAACATATATCTCTATATGTTTTTCAGTTGTGTTTGGTGACATGTATTTGCTATCGTTTTGGATATATTTGTATTATTTATATTTTTTTATGTATTATATCTAATGTATTAAAAGTTGTTTAAAAAAAATCTCTGAATGAGATATGTGACCACTTAGATTTGGGTCTAACTTATAGACTGGGTCTGGGGGTTACATTAAATCACTTTAATTGTTAATGAGATAATTATTTTTTAAAAGGTTTTAAGTTTGAACGCATATTATATTACGGTGTTTGATTGTTCATTATCAAATTGATTGAAAACTTTTCGAACATATACGATTTTATATTCATCCTTAAATTGATAAAAAAAATCATATAGTTGTATTTGGATGTTGAATTATTTGGATGATGTGAATGCTCGTTTTACCCATTTTGATTAATAACGTTGTTATAATGATTCGATGACTTAAATGATCGTGTATTAGATTTGATGCTTCGCCGTTACGTGTTTTAAAATGTATGATTTAAAATTTATGTGCTTCCGCTCAGTGTGCATGATAGGATTTTATTCGCCCGACATGATCGGAACTTAATGTGCGCTCAGGTATTCGGGTATGTCTTCTAGACCGGGTATGTGGTGTTACACTCTGCAAGACAATCTCACGTCTCACACCCTCAAAACCACCTCCATTGAGATTCAAAAGTTGTTGCTTTTCTAATTGCTGCCTTTTCTCACCAACTCTGCCTGAAATATTATCAAAAAATAGAACATTGAATGCTTTCAAGAGTTCTTTCAGCCGCTTTAACTTTCGATAAAGGACCAACATTAGATCCCCATTAGCAGGTTCAAATCACGAAGCACGAGCCACATCAATGAAGTTCGGATGGAGCGACTAAAAGTTAAAAAATTTGAATGGTTTAGACTACACGAGAGCTAATTTATCAATATAAATCACAACAGAAGTGATCGGAAACTCCATAAGCCAAGAACCCTATACACGAGGTTGGGATGTCCGTAAACCACTGAGAATTAGCAAGCACTATGTTCAGATTTTTTTCCAAGAATGTCTCATCTTGAGGGTTTGACCAGGTGTAAAAAGATCATTAAAGGGGTGATCCATCAGTTCAAGATCATCCATGAACTCTTGAAGATCCCGTGTCAATAGTAGGAATAAAAAACTTTGTTCCCAGAACTTTCACAATGACTAATGGAGACATTAAAGTCACCATCAATTATCCAAGGAGTGGAACCAATGAGATTACCCACGCTCCTTAGCTACTATCACAATGCTCGCCTAATCCCCTCATCGTTACTCCCATACACAATAGTGACACAGAACATCTTACCCTGAAAATCACCCAACAAAGAAATTGACTGAACACTCACAGAAGTAACAGCAAACTGAACATCACGCCTCCACACAATCCAAATACGACTATTATTAATAGAACAATAATTTGAAGTATAATTCCATCCAGCAAAAATGTTATCCACAATGGTATGAAACTTACTTTCTTTCACCTTGTTTCAGGCAAACAAGCAACATCCATCTTGAGGGAGCTTAATCTTCTTAAAACTTGTTGTTGCTTTGTAGGAGCATTGAAGCCCCCTAACATTCCAAAAGCATATAACCATTGATTAGATATAGAAGAAGAGCCTCCCTAACACCATCACTGTCATTCTTACCTCTCTCCAGCTAATCTTTCTTTTTTGCGTTCATCTCATTTAACAAATTTGGAACTCCTAAAATAATAGTTCGAGGCTTTCGAACATGCACCTTATTCCCCACAGGTAAAGTAGCATCCTACTCCTCAGTACCCAACACTTCAAACCTGTTCTGAAAATTGATAGGTTTTCCGAGACCATCCTTTAAACCTCTCCCCATATTCTTAGCTTTACCTCATGATGTCTGAAAAGAAGTAGAGCTCGACTCTCTAGTCCCACCATTCACACAACCAATATCCCCTCCCATAGTCATATTCCCAACCTCTTGGCAAACATCAACAACAAAGTTCACATCTCTAACTTGCTCTTTCCCCTTACACACTTTCACGTTGACTTCCCTTACCTCATAACTATCATTACCTTGAAGACCATCAACAACATTCATTACCTCTGTAACACTTTAGCACCATTATTCAATCCAAAACTTAGTCATCTTATCCCCAATATTCGGCTTCGAAACTGTCTCAACAGTACTCACATCAGGAATAACAGCAGTATTTATACCATCCTTAACATTTCCAGCTTCAGTGTTCACTTCAAAACTAGTAGCCACCTTATCTCCTTTCTTAGGCTTCCAAACTTTCTTTGCACTACTTACATTAGGACACAATCTCTCCGAGTGAGAGAAGATATTACACCTAAAATATCTAACAGGAAACCATAGAATCTCCACTTTTACAGCCACACTCTAAACCATTACTAAAACCACAATTGATTTAGGACCAAAAAATCAGGCCCAACCTCCACACATACCTTTGCATATGAGAGTCTCTGACGTGATGCAGTAATTGCAGCCATTTAGAGTGGAGGTCCTAACACACTGGCAATATAGCTGAGACTCTTCTGCGTGAACAACTCCAACGGAACGTTTATCAGATGAAACCACACTGGGATACGATCAAGTTTGAAATTCAAGGCTTTCAAATTTGGTTCCCACTTTCTTAAGATCATCGGATTATTCCGACAATGCCACGGACCATTTTTCAGCACCCGATCACGAGCCGCAGCGTTCAGAAACTGAAAGACAAACAAGTTATTGCCGCCGCGACCACCGTAACCTCACCTGCTTTGCCCCAAAACGAATTCACTATCCGTTGAAGAACAACAACATCAGATAAACGCTGCGGCAATATGACTATGGTTTTATACTGATTTCTAACACATTTTTTTAGTTGTATATTAAGGGTGTCATACTGTAGAACTTCTCGATTTCTATGTTCAATCTATCAACGAGGAACTCAGTCAATTGATGTGAATATAAAGCGTATTTATTTGGCTTTCGTTCAATTAGTCTTTACTTTTCTCAATTGAAGCATTATACTAGAGCATTAACATATACTGTGAACATATAAGGAACCGGGTATCCTATTAACCAAATTAACGAGTCTTCGAGTTTTGTGAGTATCCAATTTACGGGTTCGAACGCAAGTCTATCTTCCAGTATCCGAAAATTAGAGACCCGATATTTAAAGTAACTAAAAAAGCGTATATCTAGATATGAACACCCTAATACATGCCAACCTGATTTTTACGAGCTATATACTGGGTATAGCCCTATTGTAAGATTAATGACTAACCATGATCCTAGTTGGTTAACCACGATACTAAGCTTCACCTACATTCGAACGGGTTGGTAAAGAAATACTTGCCACAAGTAGAGTTGGCTATCATACCTCCCAATCCTGCCTTCGCTAGCATGTGATAAACGAACAATAAAAAATAGAGATATAAATGAATCAAGTTTAAACGAATAAGGTTGTGTTTGTGTTCGTTTGTTTATTTTTTAAGGTATTTATGTTCAATTTGTGTTTGTTTAAAATTTAAATATTGTGTTTGTGCATGGAAAGAGACATGATAAAGAATTGACAGGGGCCGAAATATTAAAATGACTTATTAGACTAAAAAATCGAGAACATTGGATTATCATTATCTAGTTCGGCCCCGACATGATTAAATATTAATAAATTTTTTTTATTTGAATACTTATTTTTTCATGAATTAAAATACTATTAGATCAAAATCTATCGAACGTAATTTTTTACAAGGGTCGAGGCCCATTTGGGCCCCATGAAAGTTCCACCTCTGTGTTTATGTTTGTTTATTTATTTTTTAAGGTGATTATATTCGTTTATTTATTATTCACGAACATATTTGTTTTGTTTGTTTATATGTTTGTTTGTAGTTCAACTTTTAGTTTTTACCCTTCCATTTGCAATCTAAAGAAAATGGTAAAATTATGTCATTAGTGCTTAAACTCCTTAAAATGTATAGTTTAAACTTTAAATTTCACCATGTGTTCAATTTAGTCACTACTTTCACCAATATTTAAAATATAATAGAATAAAGAAAAAGGAAAACCGGATAAGCGAGCTCGCTTATGAACATAAATGAACGAGTTGATAAACGAGTATGTTCGTAAAAATAAACGAGTAGAACACTTTTGTTCATGTTCATCGTTTATTAAATGAATATTAAATTTTTTTCATTATCATTTGTAATGTGGTCCAAGGCTCGACATTGGAGCAGGCTCGTAGGCTCAACATGAGCATAATCTTGTTCCAAAGGGGCAAGGACAAACACTTCTTATGGTCAAGCCTTTGTCACTCGATTAAAAATAAGCAAACTTGCTGAGGAATATATTATTTTTATAAACTTTTTGGATGTTCCGAAATTGCTCTAAAACTGCAATTTTAAATGTTAAAATCATAATTAATCTTATAAAATATAGTGAATTTAGAAGCATTGTCATAAAGAAGAAAAAGTGTTACTTCATGTACATGGTTCGACTATTATTTCAGATTGAGAAGTCCGTGGGAATAGGTTTATTTTCTGTGTATATTCCACATATATATATTGTGTAAAGAAGATATAGTCATTGAGAACCAAGGAAAAAATATTCAGACACGTATGTTCAATTGTAAACAAAAACTCAGGCGTTGACTTCTGTTGATATGGATGTGACGTAAAATATAATTTAATTTACGTCAAGAAAAAAGGTGACAAAGTAACCTGAGAAAAATCCGATTGCACTACTCTTATGTTTTGTTCGTTAATACGACGACGACGAGCTCAAAAAAGACACGTCTCTTGTTCTTGCTTTCTGATCAATGCCTATTTCCCACAAAAATTTCCTTTTCTCTTCTTCTTTGCCGTCCTCTGGTTCTCATCTTCACAAAAACGCTGGCAAAACCGGCAATTCTTTTAATAACCAAGCACAGCAGCAGCGCCGTCTCACGCGTCAAAGGAGACCCAGGCATTTGACTGATGATGAGGTTGGCTTAAGGTTTGGCGATATCCACCGTTCGTTTTCTTCTCCCTGTTCCCCTGAAACGCCGGCTGGTAAGGACTCCAGGTCTCCGGAGGGGTTGGACCATTGGTCTTCTTACGCGGAGCCTAAGCCTTTGCCTCTTCCTGAGGTGTTCTTGAATAGGAAATCCATGACCTCCGGTTCCAGTCCTGGACCATGTAAACTCGCATCACCTGATGAAAGACTCACCTCTGCTGTCGGAAGGTAACGCTTGAACTTGAATATACTTGTTACGTTTGCCGGCTCATGATGCTGTACATAAACTCATCCATTGCAATGATCTTTGATCATAGGTGTTATTTTTTCAATTTTATATTGAAGGACTGTTGGCATTGAATTACTGTGTTGTCGATGCTTCTGATATATTTGGCTCACAAAATTCTCAGGAAGAATGCAGATCATGCAGCTAAAAGTACGCCAAATTCATTGGCCAATTTTCATAAGGAATTCTCTCGAGGTGAAAGCTTTAGAAATGCTCAAAGCCAGCAGTCACTACAAGGAACGGTGTTACAAGTTTCACTCATCTCCAGCTAGTCGTC